CACCCAGAGGAATTGTCGAGGTAAATCCCAAACTGGTTCTTGCCTGCACTGCGAGGTGTATGCTTCTGCCAGCTCAGACGACTTCCAAACTGGCAAAGAACAAATACAGGAACTTGAAGCCAGTCGGCAACCGCTTGGCATTCATCGTTTGTGCCCCAAACTCCAAGTTCTCGCATCTTCTTCCTTTGGAGGTAGTCGTCACCAGTTGTTCCGTCAAATTCCAGAGCTGACCCGTTGATGTGCTCACAAACAAGTTGACGCACTTCCGCATGCTGGTCCTCGCTGCCAGTCACTGCATAGGCTACAGCTCGGAAAAAGCAGTTGCCATCACCTCCAATCTGCTTGTTCCTGGTCGGCTTTGAAAAAGCGTTGAATGGCTTGTTGCATACTTGGCCATAGGGCCCGGATTTAGACACATATGTTAGATTCTCCTTGTTGCACACCTTTCTTTGCCACTGTACATTGGGAGGAGCAAAGAGATGTTGCGATGGTGATGTGGTAGTGCCAGTAATAACAACATCAGGACTGCGGCTGCTTGTGGTGGTAGCTGTTGTCGTGATTGTAGTACTGATGGTGGAAGCTCCATTGTTGGTTGCAGTGGTGTTATTGCTGCTGTTGCTGGTGGTGGCAGTTCCAGTGTTGGTTGGAGTGGTGGTATTGCTGCTGTTGCTGGTGGTAGCAGCTCTATTGCTGGTTGCAGTGGTGGTATTGCTGCTGTTGCTGGTGGTAGCAGCTCCATTGCTGGTTGCAGTGGTGGTATTGCTGCTGTTGCTGGTGGTAGCAGCTCCATTGCTGGTTGCAGTGGTGGTATTGCTGCTGTTGCTAGTGGTAGCAGCTCCATTGCTGGTTGCAGTGGTGGTATTGCTGCTGTCGGTACTGATGGTGGCAGCTCCATTGCCAGTTGCAGTGGTGTTATTGCTGCTGCTGGTGGTGGTGGCAGCGCCATTGCTGGTTGCAGTGGTGGTATTGCTGCTGTTGCTAGTGGTAGCAGCTCCATTGCTGGTTGCAGTGGTGGTATTGCTGCTGTCGGTACTGATGGTGGCAGCTCCATTGCCAGTTGCAGTGGTGTTATTGCTGCTGCTGGTGGTGGTGGCAGCTCCATTGCTGGTTGCAGTGGTGGTATTGCTGCTGTTGCTAGTGGTAGCAGCTCCATTGCTGGTTGCAGTGGTGGTATTGCTGCTGTCGGTACTGATGGTGGCAGCTCCATTGCCAGTTGCAGTGGTGTTATTGCTGCTGTCGGTACTGATGGTGGCAGCTCCATTGCCAGTTGCAGTGGTGTTATTGCTGCTGCTGGTGGTGGTGGCAGCTCCATTGCTGGTTGCAGTGGTGGTATTGCTGCTGTTGCTAGTGGTAGCAGCTCCATTGCTGGTTGCAGTGGTGGTATTGCTGCTGTCGGTACTGATGGTGGCAGCTCCATTGATGGTTGCAGCGTGAACTCCAGTGGTGGCCTTCTGCAGGTTTGCCGCGTTGTACATGCGGGCCAATCCCTCCAGCCTGTAAGTGCCCTTGGCCAGTACCTCCTCAATTATGGCCTTGGCTACCCACACAGACTCTAATTTCCCGCCCTTTCTTGTGTCTCGTCTGGTGTTCCGATACCAGACGAGACCACCAACTTTAAAAGTTGGTGGCTGGTGCTTGGCATCATATTGCTGCTTTTGTCTTTCTTGAGCGGCTGTGATGTTGGATTTGCATGCTGTGCGGAAAGATGGCAAGCCCTTTATCCTTTCCATCCGCTGACTCATCATTTTCTCTTCATCGGCATCACAATAGGGTTGGCTTTCGTGGTCTTGCTCGCCATCTACTTCAATGGGCAATCGCATCTGTTGCCCGTACACGATAACAAACGGTGAGAATTTCGTTGATGCCTGCCTATTTGCCCGGTAGGACATCAGGACCCATGGGATCAGGCTGTCCCAGTTGTCCATGGACTCATTAACCAGCTTTCGCAGCTGGTGGACGAGGGTTTGGTTCAGGCGTTCCGTCAAGCCATTGGACTGCGGGTGATATGCACTGCAGAGATTCCTCGAAATATCGAGATCTCTGCAGAGCTCCTGGTTTATGGCATTCACAAATTCCCTTCCCTGGTCGCTGATGATGGTTGACGGGCACCCGAACCTTGAAACAACGCACTCAATTAGAGCGCTGGCCACACCAACCGCTGTCTTGTCGGGCAAAGGCTTGGCCTCCGCCCATCTCGATAGGTATTCAGTGAATACAATGATGTATTGGTTACCACCGGGCGTTGCCTTGAGGGGACCGACCAAATCCATGCCCCACTGACCAAAGCAGTGGTCAGGAAAGGGCACTGGATGGAGCTGGGATGGCCCCTTCTTCAGGGTGTTCTGCCGCTGGCACTCCTCGCAGGCATTTACGTGGGTTTGCACGGCGTCGTACATCCCCTTCCAATAAAACCGCTCAGAAAGCTTATTGAAAGTGGCTGTGACACCAAAGTGGCAGCCACCAGCAGGATTTCCGTGAAATGCCCGAATGATCCGAGCATGGTCGCCCTCTCTGGGAACCTCTCTCGTGGAGTTGGGTTTCTTTGATGTGGGAATATGGTTGAGGACTCCCTCTTTGAGAGTGTAAGCCTCGCACTTTCTCCTGAAGTTTCGCTTTTGTTGTTTCGCCTCATTCTTGTCCGCCATCTCCAGGATGTGATGCGGATAGCTCCCACTCTCCTTGTAGGCGCAAATAGCCTCGTACGTTTCACCCTCCATGTTCCGAATAGAAAAGAGAGGATACTATAAAAAATATTGATACCTAAAAGTGAAATACTTGAACAGCTACAAAATAATGGTCTAACACTTAGAATGAGAATGGTTATTTCACCTATTTACCTACTTATGAATTTCTCTATTACTGAAAAGGATCGAGGATATTATTATAATAATATCAATGCACCAGATCTGGATCAGTATTGGTATTGCACGTGCGAAACGACAAGTCTGGTGGACTCTGTAGTAGAATGACAGGGGGCAATCTACTATATAGTAGAATGACCCCCCGGGCATTGTACTATATAGTAGAGTGACCCCGGGGTCACTCTACTATATAGTACAATGCCCGGGGGGTCCATCTGCTGGGGGGTCATTCTACTATAGTACACCGGCAGAAAAATCGGCAGAATTCGGTACTCTTTCTGGTAAGTTTCATGCATGTTTGGTATGTGGATAAAGAAATGGAGCAGAATTCGAGGAATTGCCCGCCATAAGGTTTGAATGGTTCTGCCAATTTCACTGCTGTTCGAGCAGAATCTGCCACCTTTTCGAGCAGAATCCGCCGGTCTCTAGCTGAGATCCAGCATTGCTTGTTTGCGGGGCGCACGGCGGATTCGTCCCCTGCCAGACATGGACACCTCTGTCGTGAGGGTGGTGGGCCTGGTGGCTGAAGCGGCTATCCGGTCCTGAGGCAGCAGTTGTGTTCGGTGTCCAAGGCCGGTTTTTGACATGACTGTACTAAGTACATCGTAGTTGTACATTTGGAAGTATAATTGTTATTATTTACATTAGCCAGTATTTACAGCCATTTTATGACATTAGACTGTATTTACAGCTACATGTATTTATTTCCTTTCTTCCTGTTGTATAATCACTGTCCGGCGTGCATTTACCGCCATATTGCCAGGTGCGTGTTTACCACCATACTAGTAGTTATGAATAAAATACCGGACTGTAACCGGAGTACAGTGAAGAAAATGGTGGTAAAGACACCTCTGGCAATATGGCGGTAAAGACACGCCTGCGCACACACGCTCTCTACTAGACTCTAGGCTGCAAATGTTCTGGTACAGAGCTCTCCTTCTCACCACCACTACCATCAGTTCGCGCCTGGCGCCTAGTCGATGCATGGCTAGTGGTGTCCGACATAGCTGCTAAGCAGGCTGGTACATCAAGTAGCGCATGTCACATAGAAGATGACACAGCAACGACACAGCTCGATTGCTACGTACATGTACGTTTCGTCCCCGCTGGACTCATCAGGCAATCTTCTTCTTGGATGTCTTCATATGTCTTCATACGGAACTAATACTTGACTCGGGAGAATGAAGCATAAGTACAGCAGTGCAGTGGTGTCATCACCCGAACACTAACACGTTCACATCTACTGCACATCCCAGCTCTTACACACTACGACGTACATGTAAAACGCAATTAACGTTGCGTATGCGCCAGCCTGATCAAGTGCAGTTGCACACTGACAGGTGATCTGCTTTTTACGTACATGTGTTGCAGTTCAGATGAAAAATTCTGCTCGCAGAACGGGTGCTGTGTGTGCTTCTTCGATTTCGTTCTGCATCTTACTTACATACACTCTACACTAGCTTGTATTGTGTACATTACTCTCGTTTTACTCACATTACACCATCACCACTCAGTACTAGTACACGTACTGTGACGTAGTTAGTTCTTCCATAATATAATAATAATAATGATTGGTCTGTCTTTTAAAATTGTCTTCCTAGTATATTCCTCAACGCTAGTTGTAGTTCAGTTCAGTTGCAGTTCAGTTGTTGCAGTTTGTCTTATTCTTGTATTATATAAATACTTCCTAAACTTGTCTCCAGGCCGAGCCGGGGTGAGCTCTAGATACGTGTGTTCACGCAGTGTGGGTAGTGCCTCCGGTAGCCTTAGACCAGGCCGTGCATGCTACTGAGTACACTACATGTCAAGACCTACGGCAACCAGATCTTTTACTAGACGATCCGACTCAAGCTTGTACAACATCAATCATGACGTGGACTGTCTCTGCATCCCTTGTCAGCTTGGCTTAAATATAATCGTGCGCGTCTGGATGTTCTCAAGACGAGTGTAGTTTTGCTGGTGGACTCTAGTCTAACGCACCGCTTGCCCCCCCCCCCCCCCCCCCCCTGTGCTTTCCTCTGCCTCCCTTGGCTCGCCATGCGAAGCCTGGATACTCTCTGGAGCTAGAGGAAGCTGAAAGGGGAAAGTTGGAAGAAAAAACTGTCTACCACTACCAGGACTCGAACCAGGGACCATCGCTTATGAAATTACTTAAGTTAATGCACGACACGAAAGTGTGTAGATCAGGATCGACGATGATGGAATCAACAGAACACTGTGTAAAATTGACGCAGGACTGCGAAAAGCAACCTCCCAAACAATTGGTAATGTTGCTTCGCCATTGGACGTGACCTGACTCCTGAGAGATTAACAGAGTCAGAGATGAATTCAGAAGGCAGCGAGGGGGGGGGGGGAGTGTGCAGGACGGGCCAAGGGGAAGAAGGAAGGAGACTGGCGACAAAACGAGTACAATATCAATTTCATACACGGGTAACTGGAGATTCCGGATGTAGTCTTCACTATAATATCCACGTGCATATCTCGGAAATGATAGAGAAGGATGATCAGCATGAAACTAGCACAAGCCGGACGACTACTGTCGTACTGAGCATGCACGTCAGCTTGCACGCCGTAGCATTGTTTAGTTATGCATAATATTATTGTATGTAATCTACTGCAGCCCAGTGCCTGCTAGTGCTAGCCAAGAGGATTATGAAGAGGAATGTTAGGGGCTAGCACTTGGTCAGACCAATGTTGACGTTAGCCAGGCTGTACGACGAATGGTGTTTCTTGAAGCACAGCACGGCGGCGCGGTCGCAGTCGCACACCTTCTTCATGCAGGATGTGTTGTAACCTGCAGTGTTGGTGGGCAAACAGGAATAGCAAGTACGAACGTTCTAGTCAGCATAACACATTTGGAGAATTCTTTACGAGGACGAGGGATGCACCCAGTGTGCAAAGAGGTCTCAAAATTCCGTGGACCGTGGACACAGAGCATACGACAGTCAAGCAGTGAACAGTGAGGCTCAGTGGTTGGAACTCAGAGTTTCATGCACAACCATTCAATCGTCAGACTGAAGAGAATGCTCATGCGTGGAAGGTAGTTGAGCAGCACAGTTTCTGCACAACGGCAGGGAGGGTACAATGTACATGCGCTGTGATGGCATTTTACTGCAACCATGCACTCGACATTGGGAGCATCTACATAGTATGATGTGCCTCATAATCATGTGCTGCCAAACTCACCAAAGTACTCATACCAGTATTTCGCCTTCCTGATGCAGGACGGTTTGCTCTTCTTGCATTTCCACAGGTAGGGAATGACCTTGGGGCCGCAGCTGCTCACACGACCATAACACTTGTCGTGGTTAGTTGCAGCACTTGTCAATGGCGTCCACTGTCTTCCCCTTGCCGCCGACGCCGCACCAGCAGCCGTAGGACCCGTAGAGGGCCGTCACAGTGGCGTGCGAGTTGACTCCCGGGACACCGCACTTGATCATGCTGGAGAAGTTGATGAGCGAGCGCTTGCTGCGACTCTGGGTCCGACCACTCAGAGCCTGCTCGTGGTTCTGTTGTTGCTGCTGCATCTCATCGCTTCCATCAAACCCGTCCAGGATCGGAGACGGCACAGCATTGGCAACAATGACAAGGTTGACGACAACAACAGCGATCAGAATTTCGCAACAGGACTTCAGCGCCATTGTCAGAGGCGACCAACTTGAAACAAATCAGTTCCTTGCAGTATAATCAACTATTGGACCAACCCAGCCTTGATAAGCTTTCTCAGTTTACGGGGAAAGGTTTCGTCTTTTCTTTCCGAAAAATCAGAAGATACCGGCCACCGACATCGTCCAGGTAGTGTTGCTCTCCAGGCTCCGCCAAGGTTTCGTCTTTTATAGCGGATTGCAACCTGCTAGTACATGTACATGTAAACATGGTAAGCTTGTTATTTACGATATCAAGCCTCTTCCTCCGCCTTCCTGCATGAATTGTTGTCGGGTTTCCGTGTGTACATGTATGCATGGCGCAAAGTGCCTATTCACATTCAGCCACTTGCATGTGCACTACCTTGGGGCAGCACTGAGCAATGCCGCTGTGTCATGATAATTACAATGAGGAATCCGGCCATAAAGCCTGCACAAATACACATGAATAGTAAAGCTCTAAAAGAAATACTTGTACTAAACACCAATAGCTGCCTCAGAAACCGCCAGCGTGGCGGGAGGCTCTTGTTGATCATTTTTTGTGGCACTACCTGAGGCCTTGCGCTCCCCTCAAATCAGACGGGGTTTAAAGCCGCTTCCACATCCGTTCGCGATATGCTCATAGACAGTGAGTGCAGTGCCAGCTCCACTGGCTCCTGTCAAAGATTTATCATCAAACAGTCTCCTTCTCCTCGTTCTTCTCCACATACGTCTCGACTAACGCACGAGTAGCATGAATCAACGAAGTTGTCAATAGTCTGTTTGTGCTGCACCGTCGCGCTGAGGGAGCTGTGCAAGCACCAGCAACACGAGCGGCAAGAAACTGGGACCTTCTGACCACTTACTACTGCAATGTACATCACGTTAGTTCTGAAGTTCATGACGCAAGCAGTCGCGATACGAATAGCGAATATTATACGTATTTTGATTTCGATCTTCTACGCTGTCGTCTGTCCCTAGGGATGTGCACCGTAAAATGAAAGACTCTGTCCGCTGGCCATGATCAGTTAGTTGTGGGCGAAGTTGAACTCCATTATCTTGAGAATAACCTAGATATCTGCCAATCAACAATATCGTCTATTAGTATTAGCTCCGTCAACGGAGGACTAATCCTTAGACTACAGGGCCTGTCTAAACTGTACGAGTATGTGCTCGTACATTGTGCCAATGGAAATGATGATGATATCTCAGCCTGCGCAGCTAACGACCTACCAGGTACATGTACAATATTTCCTACGTAGGGATGTCAATTGAAGGATTTTCCTATCGACGATGGGAATCAACCGTATAGCGTGGTGACCGATCCTTTCAATGTCCTTATCTTTCCTTTTCCATCTGGACACTCTTTGACTTTCTTTTTTTCTCTCTAGCTGTTCTCCTGCGCCTTCTTATCAGTCTGCGCAGCTAATTCAGAAGTGGAAGTACTACAAGTCATTAGTATCACATTGGTGGCTTGTATCACATTGGTGGCTTGTATCACATTAGTGGCTTGTATCACATTGGTGGCTTGTATCACATTGGTGGCTTGTATCACATTGGTGGCTTGTATCACATTGGTGGCTTGTATCACATTAGTGGCTTGTATCACATTGGTGGCTTGTATCACATTGGTGGCTTGTATCACATTGGTGGCTTGTATCACATTGGTGGCTTGTATCACATTGGTGGCTTGTATCACATTGGTGGCTTGTATCACATTGGTGGCTTGTATCACATTAGTGGCTTGTATCACATTGGTGGCTTGTATCACATTGGTGGCCGATCACTGCTTTTCTCCATTTGCAGAGCTGGATCTCACACCACAATTATAATATCTTGCATCGGTGCTACATATATGTGTACCACCTCAAGGACAAGTGACCTATTCAGTATTGTCTGAGAATGCTGGCATTTTGGCTGTGAACGTTGAGCATTAGCATTCTCTGGGATTCGGCATGATTTCTCGGTGTATTGCCTACGACTCGTACGAGTCCACTAGGCCGTTCTTTTCACAGACTACAGTACTAGTAGGTAGCGATTCATAGACATGATACTGTTTACTAGATGTTATCTCCAGCTGTGAAACATGACAATAGATAAACCCCACCGAGTAAGTAATTAGTTTCCTGTTCATTCATGACTGTACTGATGTAGTGTCCAGCATGTCATGCCCTGGTACGATCACCTAAGTCCTTGCCACGGCCCGCCTAGCCACGTCACGTGAGTGACGTGACTCACGTGGCCCTTACGTTAAGGGTGGTGGCACTCCCACTGTACTAGGCCTTTGCGGATACTGCCGGCAGAAAAATTGGCAGAATTCGGTACTTTTCTGGTAAGTTTCATGCATGTTTGTTTGGTATGTGGATAAAGAAATGGAGCAGAATTCGAGGAATGGACCGCCATAAGTTTGTATGGTTCTGCCAATTTCACTACTTTTCGTGCATGAATCTGCCACCTTTTCGAGCATTATCCGCCAATGCCTAATTCCCACGGATGTGGAAAACTTGGTCTAGGCGATTCTCATGTACCAGTGTTTTGGCTACTGGCAAATAAATCGTTGGAACCGCTGGTTTCAATGCAAGGCAGTGACGCATGATAGCGAAATGCCATGCCAACAATGTACGCTGGCAGCTTTTTCTCACCCTAGGCTAAGGTACATGTACATGTACCTCTAATGGACTATACCTCAAATGGATTTGAGTGAAATGCAGTGCTCTCTTGAGTATAGGCAGGTTGCCTGCAAACTATGCAAGTGTAATGAAGCTGCGTGAAGCATCCTTCAACATTTTGTGAAAAGATACAGTGAAAAGATACAATTCAGAAGAATTATTAGTTTTCAGTCAGTATAAAGTAGAATAATGTACATGTACGTGTACATTTCACTACTAGCATGCAGTTAGACTCAGCCATCCACGGCCAGGTGCAGGCAAGTTGAGTATTTTCCTGACTGCTGCGCGACCGGCGGATTCTGTTCGAAAAGGTGGCAGATTCTGCTCGAAAAGCAGTGAAATTGGCAGAACCATACAAACCTTATGGCGGTCAATTCCTCGAATTCTGCTCCATTTCTTTATCCACATACCAAACATGCATGAAACGTACCAGAAAAGCGAATTCTGCCAATTTTTCTGCCGGCAGAATCCGCCGGGCCCTATACAGTATACTGCGCACAAGTACATGTACCTGGATCGTGCCCTGATTCTAAAGAAGAGAAGATCCTGAACTACTGCAGTGATCCGTTTCACGGAATGCAGTTCGGGTCTATGATCCACCCAAGTACACATGCTGAGTACTAAGTACACATGCAATCCCTCCCCACCTTCACATACATGTACAGGTACATGTACATGTACCCGCGACGGCATTACTATTAATTTTTGTAAGAAAGCTGATGTGATGGAGAAAGAGGCAGAGTAGTAAACACTAGCACACTGTACACTGTAGATGTGGAGGTGTTGCAGGATGATTGGCCACTGCGCTGAGTGCACCCACGCAATGACAGATGTACAGTGTATGATGCATTGCTGAATGGGTGGCCTATGCGTACAGATGCTAGCTGTCCATTTCCTTTCTTGATTTCGAGCCAGGTCTATTGAACATACACATAGTCCCATCCACTCCGACACAGGTCACCTGAAACGGATTGGAAGTCCGAGTTCCACAACACCTAGACCAATGAACTGACGTGTGGTCATCATAAGACTGGACAATCCTGTCGGTTTGCTCGAGTTCAATGGAAGGATGTGGCCGGACAAAATTTCACCTCCTACCGCATCCTGCGTGTCTGGATATATCGCTCAGTGTATGCTAGTCCAGTTCACGTGACACATGTCTGAAACAATGTCAGTGGTGCCAACATGTCACTCTTGTCTTGTCAGCAGATTAAAAAAGAGCAGGCAGTGCTCCAGCCATACTAGTGCTCCTACGATAGTTCGTTTGGGGGCATATAGCCCCCCCCCCCCGTCCACTATGTTAACTAAAAACACAGGCCCAGCGAGAAAAGCTCCAAAGATTTTTTTACAAGGAGTGTTCTAGACCTTTTCAAACCTGCTCTCCAGTGCAGGCTGGAAGGATGGCTAAACCCTCACTACTGCTGCTGGATGCAAAGACTGCTGGTACATTCAATGATTGTAACAATGAATGAGATCAAGGAACGATACCAGTGCGCCTATTCAATGGTGAATTCCGCTCTGCGAAGTGGAACACTGCCGTGCGCCGGTAAACGGTTCCTCAATGCAGCCAAGCTTCATTATTTCCGCTAGTTTCCTCTCACCTCGCAATGTCGACACGGAGACCAATCAGCGCATAGTCAATGAACAATGCACCTTCGAGCATGCAGGTCAGGCGATATCACTATCAGGAATGTTGTCATACAATGTACATGCACAGTGCTGGCAACTGAAATCCGACCCCCTTGCTGGGTGCGCCGCGCTGGCAAGGGGGTCGGATTTCAGTTGCCAGCACTGTAGTTCACAGCCAGCGCTTTGCCTCTCTAGCTGGGAGTCTTTAAAAGCCCGGGCCGTCTACCAACTCCAGCTGCTCTATACGCTACACAGAACAGAAGAATGGACGGACTAAACAGCAGATTGAAGATCTCGGGTACAAATCGAGGATTTAGGAGGTCACCTCCCCCCGTGAGGCGCTGCATCTGCCACCCTGGTATTACAGGCAAGGTGGTGGCTTGGCACAAGCGAAACTTCCTAAGCGGGTTGTGCTTCTCAATACAATTGTATAGCCGGTTGTAACACTTTTTTATTACTTTTTTACCCCCGCCCCCCCCCTCCCCCCCCCCTAGAATACAGAGGGTTCGATCAGGGGACTTGGCCCCATAGGGTTGAGACGGTACGATCGGGACTCTACCAACCACTGAGTATATTTATTCGAGGTCAGGAATCAGCACAGTAGAGAGGTTAAGATGCACGTACTGCCACGAGCCTCCTCTCGATTTGGTTATTCCTCTCTTTCCTATTTAGCCGCTGACCGCTGGAACTCAATTCCGGCATCGGTCCGCCTTGCTGCTTCACCAAGTCAATTTCGTACCGCACTCCTAGATTGGCTAGGGTACCCCGTAAGGAGACCATAGGTCTGTGGGGACTGCCCTAGAGAAATATGAATAAATACTATACTATACGTATAGGATATTGACCAAGACGAGGTCTATATGGGAAATATAGGCCGAGTAAAAGACCGAGGTCCGCCGAGGTCTTTTACGAGGCCTATATTTCCCATATAGACCGAAGTCGAGGTCAATATCCTATTTATCACGATTCCTTTGCCATAACCCCAAAATTTGAACCTTTAGGAGCTATTTTAACCTTTTTAGTATAGCATTTGTACTATAGTGTACATAGGATGTTGCCTATTTTGGGTACAAGACTGTAAGAACAACAGATTTCAGCATCTGCAGCACAGTGGCTGGGTGGTATAAGGGGTTGCTTGAGATTCATACTGTTGTGAGTTCAAATCCTGCTTGTTCTCTTCCTTTGTCTTCTTTCTTTCAATTTTTCTTTTTGAAGTGGAGAGAAAAATTCTAAGTCCCTCCAAAGTCGAAAGATTACAATGCCTAAGTGGTCGATACAAGCGGTCGATATTGCGGTGATATGGGTAATATAGGACCAGTCAGGGATCACGAGAATTAGTGGAGGTCCATATAGAAGAGTGATAAGTATAGATTATAGACCGGTTAGGAGGTCTATACAGGATATATAGACCGAGTAAAAGACCGAGGTCCCCCGAGGTCTTTTACGAGGTCTATATATCCCGTATAGACCAACTATGAGGTCTATAATCTATTTATCGTGTTCTCCACGCAATAGTTTCGCTTCTACGACATATCCTTGTAATTCTAGTATTATACTATAGCCTATACTGCATTGTACTGCATTGAAAGTCAGGATCATTGTTTAAACTAGGTTCAGCATCGGTAGCACAGTGGCTGGGTGGTAAGGAAGAGTGACTGAGATTCACAAGGTTGTGGGTTCAAATCCCATCTTGTGTGTTTCTGCTTTCTTCAAAAATTTCTTTTTCTAAGTTGGAGAGAAAATTTCTAAGTCCAAGAAATTCTAAGGAGTCAAATATAAGTAGTCAAATATATCGTGCATTTGACTAAGCAGTCAAATACGCGATATATTTGACCGCTTAGGTATCAGGGAAATTAGTGGGGTCAAATACTAAGAAGGCGATAAACTACTATACATTATTTCTGACGCGACGCGAAAGTTCAGCTCGCGTTATTTGACTCGCACCGTCGCACGTCGAAAAATCAACGCGAGTGACTTGCTGCTCACGTCGAAATTTGGGGTTTTATGCCAAGTTTGACGTGAAATTGCGCGTCACGCCGGTAGCCCTTTCCCAAAGGTGCTCTTTTAATTCGCACTTAGTGCTTTTCGCGTCCCTCAAAATATGCTGAAAAAGTGCTCTTTTTTCAGTGAAGCATAGCCATGATATATGTTCAGATATGAACCCAAGCTGAGAAATGAATACACATTCTTCCATTTATGGGTGCGCGAAAGGCAAAACAGGAAGAAAAGTATTAAAAAAAACACTTTTTACAGCATTGTGTAGTACTTGTACAAGCTTCACCAACTTGTTGCCCCCCCCCCCCCCCAAAAAAAGCGGCGGGCCAATAACTGCAAGGTCCGTCGAGCACTCGGAAACTGTGATCGCATGCACGAGCAACCAGATTTTAGCGCTTTTTGAGCTAGAAAAATGCTCAAAAAGGGCGATATTCACCAAAAACGCAAAAAAGGGCGAAAGAAACGGGCTTTTCCAAAAAGGGCCAAAAGGGGCGAAAAAAGGGCGAGCACCTTTGGGAAAGGGCTACACGTCGGAAATAGCGTGCATATTTATTTAACCTCTCTATAAATGTGTCCTCCACCTTGTAATATGCTGTCATCCTCAAGCTACCGCTGTATAGGTAAGAACTCGTTTACTCACATTCACCCACACCAGGCAGGGCGAACAAACCACGACAACCAGGAGGCATTACTTTTTTCTTTCCTTTTTCTTTAGTTGTTGTGTCAGGCCAGTGATAGCACGTTGTGTGATTGCTCGTATAAGAGGCTTCTTCAATCGCACCAGGAGGCATTATTACGTGGCGGAAACCCTAGCACGAATGACTAATTTATCATAGGTCTGTTTCATCGCTGCTGGACGTCTGGCAAAAGGCGCTTAGCAGTGGCCTTAAGCTAGGCAATGGTAACGGTTAACCTGCGTTTGGCAGCACACAGCTACAGGAAAAGTTGTTTTGAAGCTCTTGCTCTTCTCTAGTCGCTACCCGAACAACATACTACTTCGAAGTAAAACTCAATCTGTGGACAGAACTGTTTTGGCCTTCGTGGACTCATCAGCGTAGCACAGAGGAAAACGAAGCCGAACCTGATAGCAATGAAAAATAAATTTTCCAAAGCCAGATTTAATACCTAAAACCATGCCCGAACGTACCTTGCCAGAGCTAGAATGCTCCAAGTAGTACATGACGATTGTACTACATTTGTCATGATGACACTAGTCCAGGCCAGTGGGCAACTCAAACGCCGCTCCTTTACTACATGTATGTGTAGTACCGCACCAGCGTAGCCCTAGTAGGCGAATACCAAAAGCAAAATGTTCTCCGTGGCTTGGCTCTGTCCGTTCAACATTGCTCCGAGACTCCACAATGCAATCATTCCGCAGCTATATGTATTATTGTACTTCAGTAAGATATCATGCGGCAGAGTTCAGCGAGCGATGTGTTAGTTCGCTTCCAGTTGACAGTTAGGCGCATCTGTTGCACAGTGACTCACTGGCAGATACATCTACATGACTTGTACATGACTTGTACTTGAGCAAGTAGTTGAGGCTGCCAATACTAGGCCTGGCAATGTGAAACAGCCCTAGCTCAGATTCCGTCAACGTGTGTACGTGTTGTAGTCTTGTTCATGGTTGTCCTGTCATGGACAAGCTGAAATGAAAGGCAAGAGACAAGGGACTACCCGTGGAGTACATAATCATTATGGACCATCGCTGTACTTGTCTAGCGCGGAGACTCGGTGGCAGTTGAAAGGACCGTGTTTGGTCATTGCAGAGAAAACTAGGGGCGTTGACACGAGTCGCTGGAGCTTTCAAAAAATCCTTACTCCTCCGAACTGTGCCAAACATCGAGTGCAGTGGAGCTACCAAACGGTTATTTCCCTTTACCAGTACTCGTTGTTTCAGTTGTGAGGCGCTAGAGACTTAGTCGACGAGCTGTGGCCACTCCTGCTAGTGTGCCGTCTTGCCAGTGATAACGGCAATCACTACGAGCCTTTGCTCTGAGATCCCACCAAGGAAAACGCGATAGAATGGCGTCGCGAGCTGGCATCATGGCAGCCCTGCTTGCTGCCTGCATTGTTCTGGCATTCTGCAGCAAACCGGCAGCCGGTGCGGAGCGCAAAGGCAGGGCGAAACTCGCCGGCGAGCACTCCGACATCTTGGCCGCCTCGTCCGCAGCCGAACTGAGTCGCGGCAAGCGCAGCCTGTTGGAGTTCGCACGCATGATAGACTGCGAGATACCGAACGTGAACTTCGTGCAGGGTGCAGTCCGATACATCAATTACGGATGCTGGTGCGGCGTCGGAGGCAAAGGTAGGACGGTCGACAAAATAGATGAGTGTTGTAAGGCACACGACGAGTGTTACAACAGAGCTATTGCTGCCCGCTGCGAGAATCCAAAGTTTTACACCTACAAACACAGTTGCTCCGGAGGCCGCGTACAGTGCGCTCCACAGGAGGAGCGGGGACGGAAGAAGAGGAGCTTCTTGCGCCGCCTGTCCAGGACCGCGCGACGCGTTACTAGCCGCATTTCCAGGACTGCGCGACGCGTGACTAGTCGTCTTTCCAGGACGGCGCGACGCGTGACTCGCCATGTTTCCAACATATACCGCACATACATCAGTAAGTGCTGCACCGTCCTAAGCAGCGTATGTATCCTTATGGTTTTATTGTTATTGCTCACACGTATCCGCAGGATGAGTACCCGTGGCCTATGGCTTGCGCAGTGACGATCCTGATGCACAATGATTCTGTACACTGCCGCTCAATGAAATCCAGTCGCGTCACTCACGTAACACGTTTGCACCTTCCACCATTTCTCAGCCCAGTGCTCGCAGGTCTAGGGCTGTGCAACGCCCGGTGCGTACTTGAGTGACTCAACTGGATTTCATTGAGCAGCACTGTGCCGGCTAAATGAACATTGTGTAGTACGCTGGCCAGTGCATTGCTCGAGACTTACTAGTACGACATGAGTACAATGATGTACGTTAGTCGTATGGTTGACCCGGTGTGGACTGGGGAACTAGGCTACCATGCACAGCTTCCCGGCTACATTTGAGGCTTGGGACCATAAACGTGCGCCGATACTAGTAGTGGAATTTGGCTTGCGCTGTCGTAGCAGCACACACATACGCACACACACACACACACACACACACACACACACACACACACACACACACACACACACACACACACATGTGCGTGCACTCGCACACACGCGCGCGCGCACACACACACACACACACACACACTACTACTACTACTACTGTAGCTTGGTTGCCACAAGGGCCACGCCACTCCGAAAGGAGCCAGAGTCATTGTCAGGAGCAGAAACGGAGATGACGACTCGGGTCACTCTGTCGACGGAACTGACGGTTGCAGCAGCGAGAACAGCGAACACCATACGACGCTCTATCAGACACACACACACACACACGCACGCCCACACACACGTACACACATGCACACACACACACACACACACACACACACACACACACACACAGACACACACACACACACACACTCGCAGCGAGGTGACACCAGTTTAAGGATGGCAATAAACAGTATCAGCTGAGGCATCATGTCAGGAAGGTTTTATTGAGATCAAATGGGGGACAACTTTTAATCAAGTGCGACTTACAATCGTGGAAGTGAGGGACGGGGGGGGGGGGGGTACCCCAAGCAAGAGTATTTTCTTGCTCCCATGTAAGGAACACCTCCTTTCTCGGTGTTATAATGCACGCAAGGCTAACCAGTGCTTCAGTACTTTGGCGGATCGACACGAATCGCCTTGGTTACTACCACAAGTACTGCTATGCTAGTTTATGGCTAAAGAGCTTCTGCATTGTTTCAATTGTTAGAAAGCTTCAGGTAATGTTTGTTTGCTTGAGTGTTGATATGAGTACCTTGCAGACTCCGTAATGTGTTACACTGTGTCGGCCACTAGTCACCAACATTGCTCTTCTCCTTCTGTTCTTGTCTGACCTATGCGTGGTTTAGACCCCTCCAAGACTAACACCGCGTGCGAGCACATGATGTGCAGGTGTGATCAAGTGGCCGTTCAGTGCTGGAGGCGGTACAACTACCTATACAACAGCAGAAACATCAAGTACTTCAACCGGTTTGACGGATGCTAAACCATGCCAGGCGTGCCGTGCAGCACCCGTCTGCATGCTCGTGGAATTGAACTTCTCCTTTCTTGCTTTCACGTTGTTTTTAAATTGCAAACGAATAAGATAAAGTGCGCACTGCGCAGTCACTCTGTGTTATCATGCATCTACCTGTACACACATCATCAAGGAACGATTTAATTGTTGTCTCTGAGACCGTTTTCTTGTGTTGTCATCAGTGAGAGTGCATCACTGAGCGGTGAACAAAGAATATCAAGGTATTTAAAACAAGTTTGAACTCGCATAATGAACAAGTATGAAATCATGTAAATAGAAGAAGAAAACACATGGAAACGATATTATCGCGCGTACTGACCGCTTTTCATCTTGTCATATTCGTGGATAGTTGCTTCATAACTCGTTTTCATGTGTTTTCCTCTTCTATTTTATATTAAACAAGTTGCAATTTTTAAAACTTTTTGTCTCCTCGTCGACTCTTCATGTCGTTTTGTTTCTCGTTGTCGTTTCGTACGTGAATGTGAAGGCGGCCAGTTCTAAACAGGATTTAGATCACTTGTCAAGAAATATCGTGCTATCGCCGTCCCTCGTGGCTCACGCAAGCACACATCTAACGGCTCTGTCTCCAGTCGTTCATTTTGCAGGTCCCATTTCCAGTTACTTCTGCTCCAGTCCCTATAGACAGTGCACACACGAATGCACAAAGCCCCTGCCATTCTTCTGGTACTGGTACACGTACCTTAGTCTCCTGCCTTCAGTCTATAGCTACTGTTTTCCTTCTAGTGCCAGCCGTCGATTTTCGGCGAATTCAGTGCGAAAATTGCATATTGGGCGAAAAGATCAGTGATTTCTAAAAAAAAACACTGTTTTTGGCGAATTTTTCGGCCAGCCGATTTGGGAAACGCCTACTCTGCCATTCTTCTGGTACTAGCACACGTACCTTAGTCTTCAGTCTAAAGCTAGTCTTCAGTCTATAGCTACTATTTTCCTTCTAGTGGCCATGTGGAAGATAAGTCACCTTACTTACTTCAACATGGACAGTCAGAGAGTGGTGGACATCACGCAACTGCCTTATAAAGAAAAGGGGGTTTGTCAACTCACAACCGCTCTATTCAGTTACTGTTCACACTCGGCGCATGCGCTGGATGAAAACTTCTTTATCTTTTATGCCGAAAAAATTATGACGTTTTGGGCCAGTCACCCCATCTTCAGAACCATGTAGAGTGTGAGAAGAAAACACTTCTCCGTGCTATGCCTGCCTTTGATTTGGCATTTTCAGCATCAAAACAACAGTTGTGAAGTAAACTGAGCTGCACATGCAGCCACAGGGCATAAACGACTCGGTTCATCATGGAGTACTGGACTTGGACGGGTCTAAATAGTGTGCCGTAGTACTCCGAAGCGGTCCCAGCTATCTGGGGAGATACACTGGCCTGTGTGTCGCCAGGGTGCTCATGGGTTGGTTGTTCACTCTGCTGCTGCGTCTACAATGTCTGCTTACTCTGCTTATGTCTGGTTACTTGGGATTCGATGCTCAGCAGAACTTGCAGGGGCGTAGCAGTCGGTCCGGCCGGTCCGGCTGTGCATGTGGCCGGTATGGCTGTGCATGTGGCCGGACCACTTTTTTTAGCACAATGCCAAAAGTTCCCAGAATGCAGGATTTTCACCCTATTTTCAAAATGTCCCCGTCGGACACTCCGGGACTACCTGAGCAGCTGCAGCAACTTCATCTTCTTGCCTAGAGGGTGGTGGCGTTTCTGCAGATGCGGGAAAGCCAGCCTGACCAACACTCCACCAAGAAGACTGCACTGTTTTGCCAGAGAATAGAAACTGTAACACAATAATATTATTTTGCTCTTCAACTTTTGTGTAGGAAAACTTTTAACAATAATTATATATTTTCTGAAAATTCGACTCGGACACCTGAATCGGAAAAATGATTTTGGAATTAAAATTATCCAAGAATCGTGTATTAAGTAGCATCCTCTGTGGCTGTTCATAGCGCACATACAGGTACAGGTACGCAGCATGCTGATCTGTGCACAGTAGCAGTGTACTGTAATGTACATACATGTATATAGAGACTGTGCCAGTATTGTCAGTGTCAATGTGCGCCGATGTGTCTATCAGCTGCGTTACTTACATCATCAGCGTACAGCACCATGTCGAGGTACCGGTGAGCGTGCTGCAGCATGCAGCGTAGCGGCGCACTGTTTAGTTAAGGCTGGCAGTGGCCTCGGTCAAACCACTGGATGTGCGACGCGTTGTAGGCACTGTTGTGCAGCAGGAAACACTCCGTGACCATCTTATCGCAGTCGCACAGCATGAGCGAACAGCGACTGTTGCCTCCATCTGCACAACACCAGACAACATGCAACCAATACACAATACTCAATCTGCGGACAGAACTGTTTCGTACTTTGTGGACTCATCAGCGCAGCACAGAGGAGGTGAGGCTGAACCTGGTAGCAATGAAAGATACATTTTCCAAAGCCAGATTTAACCCAGGCCCGGAGACCAATATAACAATATTATGCGTTTTGCAGGACCACATAAAGCAAGTTTTTGATCGTTTCGGCCATAGCACAGCCTTTCACTCTGTGCAGGATGTAGTGGGTGCACAGCACCTCATCAGCACTAAACATGCCTCAGTGGGCAACATGTTGGTCCGGTGAGGACCTGCGGACCAACTGAACTGATTCCGGCCGGCCAGGTGTATGTTTGTGTACACTGGGATTCAAGATGGCGCAAACTTGAGTATCGCGACTGGATTTCAATGAACAGTTGCGCTCACTGAAATCCGACCCGAAGTGCAAAGCTGGCGCCCTGGACAAGTTCCGATTACATCATTGCATGTGTGCATGTGTACGCCCAGCCGCATTCATTCCATTTCCAGGGCATCGAGGGCTGTGGAAGTTGAGGGCGCCAGCTTTGCACGTTGGGTCGGATTTCAGTGAGCGCAGCTGTAGGTATTTCAAACCCACAGTTAGTGCCACTTCAAACTGTGTATTAGGACACATGGGTACGAGTTATGAGCTAGTCTTGTACACATTGTATTATTGGTGCAGCATCCGATTTCATCAAAGTGTATGTATATAATATTACCTGAAGCCGAAGTGAATATCTTACGGGCGAATACTAACTAGTATACAAACCGATAATGCTGTTTATTATTTTATTATTTTATTTTAGTATTATTATTTTTTTCGGCAAAGCAGATGATGATGATAATGATACAAGCCGAGGCGAAGCCAGGGTTTGAAGACTAGTAAGTATTCGCCTATATTCACGAGGCTGAAGTTAATAATTACACTTACCTCTCCATATTCACCCGAACGTCCCTAAAGCCCAACAAACGAGTCATGTTGGTCATACGTGTATACATGTGCGCAGAACTAACGTAAGTCGTTATCACTTCATTACGGAGCATCAGCAAATCGAATCTTCGAGTGAAATTCGAGAATCGTCACGACAGGTGCTCAAAGAGCCCTAAACTAGGGCTTGTTTCGACTGAAAAAGGCCCGCAAACAGAAACGTAGTTTCGAATGCAGCTCGCGCGGTCCATGTACATGGTGCAGTGGTCTTGCACGGATCTCCAGTACCACTAGTACTGTAGTCATGTACAATAAAACCTGGCTGTCAAGGCGACCACTCGGATAAGGCGACCACCTGTCCTAGAAGACCGCAGAAACTATAATTATGCAGCACCGAGGAATTCTATTTCCAGTCAAATGACCCTGCATAAGGAGACCACCTGGTAGCAGAGACCAGGTTTTGAAGGTCCCTTGAGCGGTCGTCATAGACAGGTTTCGCTGTGCATGATGAAGCAGTGCTCTCATCTGCGTACCGTGTAGATCTACCTGCACAGCGCAGCTCCAGTGCTACACGGAGCAGTTGTTTGTAACACTCGGCGCAGTCGTCGTGACCTAGCTAACCCAGGTAGCCTCCAACTAATGTTACTTTTCCAGAGCGAAAACGGTTCATGGCGGTCGCTTCAGCGAGATCAGCCAAAGAGATCCGATCGCCAATGGCCTGATCCAAAATGAAGCATCCGTCGCTTCGCGTCATCCTCAACGGCCGCGAGAAACAGCAGCAACTCCGTTCGATCCAGGTGACCTTCAGCAAGGAGGAGAAGCGAGTCCAACCAATCGACTTGCTATCCTGCTATTCGAAGTTTACATACTCTTGCCATATTGCAACAACCACAGCGCATCTCAAAATGTTTAGCTCTCAAGCTCGAAAAGAACTACAGACTGCAGTACGAGTACTTACTCGAGTGACGGAGTCGAAAATTGCTGCTACATGCTGAACCCCTTTTTCATTCGACTTTTCGCATTGTCTTTCGCTTTGACACATCCATAATCGAACCGAAAATTCGATTTTCTGATGCTCCATACCATCTTAAACCGACTGGCATGTTCTGGCATGAATCGGAGAATGACGTGCTCTTGACAGAATCTTGTTCAACCTTGTTAGGATCGATCGTGTACACGAAACTGGTGCATGTGGCCCGGGAGGTGACACCTTGGAGAACCAGCTGGCGCTAATCACCTTGGAAAACACACTCGTGCATGGCGGGAGCCAATAATCATCCATTTCGATGCGAAGATTTGACCAATCCGCGAGCATCGCGCCAATTCGAGAGTCAGTTTATGAACAGCGAGCTAAGCGATTCTGCCCTCATTTATTTCTCTTCAGTCAGCGCACCGGAGCTGTTGTATGCCCTAGAAAGGTTCTACGCTAACGTCCGTAAACAGGACTTCTCTTGATTTGAAACGAAATTCCTTGCTTGCCGCTCGATCCGCAATCCACCGACATGCTGAGCATCCAAAACCTTGTTTGCTGGTCTGTGAAGATGCTCGCTGTTGGCTGATGACTTTTCAACACACATGCGGATCCAGCGGCAAGCAAGGAATTTCGTTGGTACGTCCTGTTTACGGAAGTTCGTATAGAACCTTTCCAGGGCACTCGCCAGCTCCGGTGCGCTGACTGAAGAGAAATCAAGTGCAGCACCAAGCACCGTAAGTATCGCTAACTCGTATCCAGTACGATGCCTGGTGCTGTAACAGCCGGTGGTGAATAAAATCGGCGAATATTGAGCAATACCCACCACTTATGTACACTGTAGATGGGCAATCGCATGTGGGTGACTGGAATGAGGTACAATCCATGATGAAAATTTAATATAATATACTTACTGAGCAGGCGATCCCACGCTGATTCGTAAAACTGGCCACATGACGTCCTTCCTCCTGCCTTGCACTGCCAGTTGTACGGAAGAAACTTCAGGCCGTCGCAACCAGCCCCGCGTGTCGCATCGTAGCATCCGTCATGCACTTGACAGCAACGGTCGATAGCGTCGACGGGTGCGCCGCTCCCGCCCACTCCGCACCAGCAGCCGTAGTTCGTGTATCGCGCAGCGGCTGTGACAGGGTTGCCGACATTCGGAATTGCGCACGCAAGCATGCCGCCGAAGTTCCAGAGAGAACGCCTCGCCCGGCTCTTGGCCGCAGGGTAATTGCCGGACGAAACGTCGCGAAGAATTTCGTTTCTTCCTGTGTGAATGCTAGCTGCTTGAAGTGTAACAGTGCAGAAAGCGATTACGACAAGAAAAGAAGTCACTACCGTCAGCAAAGACATGGTGTGCTTGAAGCGGATGGGGAACATTCTTGAATACGTCGTCTTCATTCTGCGGAACTGTCACTTTGTGGAGGAGAGTGGAGCGCTCTCTTTCTAATTCCTGCTGCAGCTCTTGCCAGAGTGAATGTAGAAACTGCTGGCCTGAAACAAGACCATGGAGACTGAACAATCATCTTTCTCCAACTACTGTAAAACCGGAAAGTCTAATAAACGACCAAAAAGTTTAACGTTTTTGTAATTTTGGCATGATTACGTGCAGAAAGTTTAACGATGGCTACCTGGCCACCCATCTGTATGCGCATCTTTACACAGACATCTAGCGTATTTTTCAAATAACGAAAAATAATTGGCCGTTAAAACGTTAGACTTTTGAACTCGTTAGACTTTCCGGTTTTACAGTAACTGCTTTACCCACTCCACCCACAGCTACAAGTCTTCTGTTGTTGTTGGCAACGTATTGCAAAGCGCAAGCATTTTCTAGACATAATGAAGAGGTATGCATCTCAAATTTGGCCGTCAACTTTTTGCGGGGCAAGTTAGTTGCCCCAAACTTGGCAGGTACAACTCGTTATAGCATTCAATGGCTCGGGGGGATTGATGCATACATGTACGTCCCATTGATTTGTGAAATCAAACCGGTTTGCATTAGGGATCAGGGAGTTGTGGTTTACTAGTATTCGACTCCAGGGATGTAACGATATTCGAATACATGTAAATTCTTTGCTGCTTTCGACGTTAAGGAGGTTCGCGACGGTTAGCGCCATGTTGGATTTCCGAATTTATTTCTGAAAAATAATGCCTTTCGGAGTGGAAAAATGGGACGCGATCATGCACAGAAAATAGTTTGACCATGACTTCGCAGCGCGTGCTCGAGTCGAGACAAGATTTGAGGAAGAAGCTCAGCCACTAGTGGACTTGCGGATTTGTTTTGACATTGGCGGTTTTTGGGTAGCTCGGTTCTCCTGCCGACGTGTCGTCAGTGGAGATGAAGACGCGGGAGAGTAATCCGTCACCCACGACGCGGCCTCTCATTCTGCGTACTGGACGACGCAAGAAGCCGAGGAGGGGGACGCTTCGCAAACTCAAACGATCGATCGAGTTCCTGAAAAACGGAAAGGGCGATCTCCATCACTAACGCCACTGGATTCGACTCCCGCGAAGAGGTCGTTCAGTGCCCCTCTTCACGGTCGACGAATCGTTCATCTCAGGTATCTGGCTGTGGGATTGTCTGCGTGCCAGAATCCTGGATGTGGCAAACCTCTGGCGCTCATTGATTGCGTTGAAGAGAAGAGGTCGGTACGACCTGGGCAGCGTACTTGTCATTCCGTGTCAGCAGTGTGGGATGGAGAATTGTATAGATACAGATAGCCCTGTAACTGCTCAACACCCTGGCCCCCGTGCTTCCACAAGCAACACCAAAGCTGCTTTGAGTAAGTGCGTTTTTCAATCTCATAAGATTTATTCATGATATTTGCGAGTCATTGCCACCCTATGGCTATGGAAATGTATGAGCACACTGTATGCGCGGCGGCCGCGAGCGTCTGTGTGTTTGCATAGACCTGCATGTTTGTGCATGTGTGCACCATACGCATGTATGAACATGCACATGCATATGCGCTCATGTGGACGTGCCCTCGCACACATACTATACACACGTGCATGACCGCTCCCAGGGCATGTTGGTGTGACATGTGTATGCGGGCATCTCCACTCATGCACATGTGTGTGCACATGCATGTGGGTGGGTACGCACGCGTGCGTGAATGTATGTGTGTGTACGCGCGCGTGTGTTCTATTGCGTGTGAGAGCATGCATGTGTGTGTGTGTGTGTGTGTGTGTGTGTGTGTGTGTGTGTGTGTGTGTGTGTATGTGTGCACGGATGTGTGTGTCGATGGTGTGCATTTTGTGATTGGTGAACACTCTGATCCCTAAACCGCGATACCGGAGCTCCCAAACTACAGCCTCAGATTGATTTATAGTTCATCGTTGGGAATGAGTTCGCTGCTCATGATGCTGTTGCGGATGTTGCGGCCCTAGCTGAAATTGTCGAAGCTCGCCCTGATGCCAGTATCCTGTAGCACTCTGTCACTTTTGCATCAGCATGTTCGGCGATGGAGTTTGCAGAACATCAGCAAAAGCGGCTGGCCACCCTTCAACCGTTGGTCCAAGCAACGTGCTTCTCTAAATCAGTTGCAGTGCGGGCAGCTGCCAGTGGGTTGGTGATGAAGCACTTTGTCTTGTCCTACAAACGAAGTGGTGAGCCAGCCATTTCCAGACTGATGAAGGAGCAAGTCGGAGGTAAGAAGCGGGTGACAGTCTCAAGGAAGATTATACTAGTGGTGGCTGAACACCTAGCGAAGAACCAGCAGCAACCCAACTGTAAGGAACGCTCTGTGGCACAGTGCTTCACTTGTTTGTGCGCACCGTAAAATACCATCATTTTTGCCAGTGTGGGGACACGTTCTAGCTCGCATAGTTGAAGAACAAGAGGACTCAATGTTGTCTGATTCGTTCCAACACGTCAGCTTTCATTGTAGTTTGATATGGGGCAGTGCTAAGCGCTATCATAGCTACATGTACATGTATCACAACCAAGTGCCAACAGGAGAGTAATCATGGAGAAAAGAGTACCTATCGATAATGCGTGCACCCAGGGTTTTCCGGCAAATTTACTAGTTCAGCTATTCCATCCTTGTATTGTTCTGAGCGCCGAGGGCTCTAGTGAGTTTATGCAACACCTAACAGCCAAAAATCAAATAAGTTATGACCAAAGCAGCAGCAGAGAAGTACAAGCAATATAGATACGTGAATTTACCAATTTTAGGCAAATTTTGACAGTTTTTTGGATTTTTCTCCAGAATATGCACGGTGACCCCTATTTTCGCCGCGGTAAACCTGTTCCAACCCACTAATAGAATGTGTTTGAAGTATCCACATATGGGGCAAACTCAAAAATAAGCTGCAAAAAATATTCAAAGTTTCATTTTTTGCGTCTTTTTGTTCTTCTCCAGGAAATGACGACCTGGATCCCATCGTCAACCAAAGTGTACATTTTTCGGTGTTGATATCATCTTAGTCAATACCTCGAACAGTCTGTAAAATTTTATGTCATATTTTCTGTCCTAACTGATGTTATGGACGATTTCTCATCAATTTTGGGATTTTGTGTCATTTTGTGTCATCAAGGAAAATTGTGTTTTTGGCAAGACCTATTCGGGCAATTGAAAAACTGATGTTACTAAGCGAAAATATAAGGCTGTACCTATTCAAACCTGATGTCAGATTGGGCTGATGTTGAAATTAAATTTTTGGGCCTAACTGTCCCGAACCCCCTTAATTTTCAACTTCAGGGGTTCGAAATGTCACCAGACCTTGTTAATGCACGTGCAGAGAGCCTGGGACACAATCTGATACTAATTATTATGCATTTTAGCAGTGCTGTGAGGTTTGTTCTGCTTGTATAAGCAAGCGGCGTCAGGACAAATAGCCGGGGAGGTCTATCTCGTCAGGTTGTCCGGCCAAATTGCATTATTGACCGGAAATGAACATGATTGATGGAAGAAAACCTCGTTTTGCCAGAATTGGGTCGGTCTACATTTTCGGATTTTGGCACGGCTGTCAGGGCCAGATCGGCCGGACCGCGTACCGGGTGTTACGACCCTCTAACAGCAGTGTGTAGTGTAGTGTAAACTAATTAAAAAAATTAAATTCGACGGGTTCGCATACCGGGCCGGTCAAGAACAAGGAGTCGTACAACTCCTAGGTCAAGATTCAAGAACTAGGCCTTGACGGATTATGCTAGCATAATTTTTCGCATAATTCCTACCAAAATCGAATAAGCGCATAATTCGAGGCAAATTGCATACGAATCGCATAAATTGGAATAATCCGCCTGTTCGCATCAAATTCCATACAGTTGTACATGTTTTACAAGTACAAGTACAAGTAGATGCGCCAGGAATTCGTAGGTTTACGACTCCCTTGATAACATGTCCAGTCCACTACATGTAGCTACAATCAGTGACGGTCGTAGCTACATATATACATGTACATGTAGGTCGGACGGTGCGTTGACCCCGTTGATCTTTTGCTACTACAGTACAACGTCCTCTACAAAAAATTCCCCTGTTATTTTGCGCAGAACCATCATATACATTAGCAGCATATGTGAGCATGATGCGGCATAATTATGATAACTTTTAGCATAAAAATTAGTGGTGAAACGAATGTCAAAACCTACTAGTCGAATATTCTTCAGCTTAACGAACGAATGAACGAATATTCTTTTGGTAACACAGATGACATCACATGCCCTCCTCTCAGTCATTTGATGGATATTGTCAATCCTTTTTTTATTATTAGGTATGACAAACGGTAGTGCCACGTAAAATGTGCTGCCACATAAGGCTACTTCGAAGTTCATACATGTTATGTGCAACATTGGCAGTCCAGTATGGATGTACATGTGCATGCATGCAGTACAAAGTCACAGGCAGGCTGGATGCAATGCACTATAGTATCTATACTGTGTTCGGCGTGCATGTATGTACATGCACTGCATTCGAAGTGACGTAACGAATACTCGAATGTGACTTAAGGTGGGACACCACCATTCGCGGCCCATATCAGACCGCATACAATTGAAATAGGCATATCATGAAAACGGATTGGCAGATTGCCTTCAAATTTTCTCTGTTCAATCACTATATACTGCTCCACAATGTAGGCACCAAAAAGAGAATTTACAGTTCATCCCAGTAATGATTGATGGGCTACACAAATTCTTTACGGGTGCGCACAAACAGCAATTTTTTTGGACAACTTTG